CCACGTCCCCACTGTGCTGGATTTTTTAACACACATCTATCTATATTTATAATATTAAATATATTAATTAAAATAATCTTTAATTAATGACAAAATATTGATCATAATTTAGCTATAACATAGAATATTATTAAAATACATTAACTCTTATAATTTTTGTTAAAAATTTAAAATATTTATAAATTAAACTGAAACATTAACTGAATATATTATATATAAGAATAGTAAAAAATTATAAGAATATAACTGTAACTGCTTACAGTCATCTAAACAAGGTGATCGTCCAATAAACAATAATAACACCTGTAGATGAAAAAGAACAATATTAATTTGATCATTTTTGCTATTAAAACATTTTATATTACCGTTGAATATAAGTGTCTCCAATTATTGCTACTTCATAGGCCCATTTGGAATTTGAATCATTAACAAGAAAATTCACTTTTTGTGGATATCTAAAACGTCGATTATAATCTATAGATTTTTTAAGAATTAAAATTTAAAAATATTTCAAGTTTAAAGCAGTTTGTTAAAATAAATGTAAATATTATAAATATATATAAAACCGAAATAAAATCTCAAAATGTTGTTTACCAGTTTTATCATATCATAGTTAAAACAATAAAATAATATGTTTACTTTGTACAATTTATAACATTCCCATTATCTGTAACGATCTTGCCGAAATTTCTCTTTTTTCCAATGAAGCATATAATACCTTCTTTAAGGCTACGAGTATCTATGAAGGCTGCTCCTTCAATAGCTACTATTTTAGGCTCTGTCATACCAAGTTCATGAACATTTTCTTCAAACTTATCACATCCCTCGAGAATATTGTTAAGCTTATTGTCTTCAATATCTACTCTCTTTTTTGTCATATCTTCTAACTCCACCATGATTTTAGTTTTTGTATCCACGTTCTGCATTGTGTCAGATTTCATTTTATGATTACTTACTTTATTTAAGTAACTCTCCATGCCCTCTAATTAATATCATATTTAATTGCTTATGAGTCATAGTATGAAAATTTGGGAAAAGGTAATAGATAAGAGAATAAGAAATGAGACATCCGTATCTAAAAACCAGTTTGGATTTATGTCTGGTAAGTCAACAATGGAGCCATTATTTTGCGTGAGGTAACTAATAGAAAAGTTTAGGGGAAAAAGAAAAAGATGTATAGGGTGTTTATAAATTTGGAGAAAGCGTATGATAGAGTACCGAAAGAGGTTCTAAAGTGGGTGTTAATGAGAAAAGGAGTCCCGAAAGGGTACATTAATATAATAGAGGATATGTATGAGGGCACTTGTACTAGGATAAAAAGTGTGGGAGGAGTAACAGAAGGTTTTCGGGTAAGAGTAGGAATGCATCAGGGTTCTGCTTTAAGCCCTTACTTATTCTCTATAGTGATGGATGAAATTTTTTCACCGTACAAAACTACTAAAATGTTTGATTAATACAAAAACAATAATATTCATGATTTCAATAAAATAATTAATTATATATTATATTAATTTTAAAACCAGAATAATTTATATTTGTAGAGAGAAAGAGAGAAAGATGGATGCTGAATATTTAAATTTATAATTATAATAAAATTACAATTACAAATATATAATTATTAGTAATAAGATATTCTTTATTTTTTATTTATTATGATATTAATTATTACTACTTATTAGAATTTTTTATACATAAAAATCAAATACATGTATGCATATAAATATTATAATATTAAGGAGTCCCGAAAAAGTACATTAATATAAGAGAGGATATGTATGATGGTACTTGTACTAGGATAAAAAGTGTGGGAGGAGTAACAGAAGGTTTTCGGGTAAGAGTAGGAATGCATCAGGGTTCTGCTTTAAGCCCTTACTTATTCTCTATAGTGATGGATGAAATTTTTTCACCGTACAAAACTACTAAAATGTTTGATTAATACAAAAACAATAATATTCATGATTTCAATAAAATAATTAATTATATATTATATTAATTTTAAAACCAGAATAATTTATATTTGTAGAGAGAAAGAGAGAAAGATGGATGCTGAATATTTAAATTTATAATTATAATAAAATTACAATTACAAATATATAATTATTAGTAATAAGATATTCTTTATTTTTTATTTATTATGATATTAATTATTACTACTTATTAGAATTTTTTATACATAAAAATCAAATACATGTATGCATATAAATATTATAATATTAAGGAGTCCCGAAAAAGTACATTAATATAAGAGAGGATATGTATGATGGTACTTGTACTAGGATAAAAAGTGTGGGAGGAGTAACAGAAGGTTTTCGGGTAAGAGTAGGAATGCATCAGGGTTCTGCTTTAAGCCCTTACTTATTCTCTATAGTGATGGATGAAATGACTAGAGAAATACAAGGAGAGGAGCTGTGGTGCATGTTGTTTGCTGACGATATAGTGTAAATAGGAGAAAATAGGGAGGAAATTAATCAAAGGCTATAGGTGTGGAGATCAGCTCTTTAAAAAAAGGGTTTAAGAATAAGTAGAAGTAAGACAGAGGTTCAGAGTGTTGGGTGGTTGATAAGGAAGTAGAGCAGAAAATGAGTGTAGTAGAGATGAGAATGCTTAGATGGATGAGTGAAGTGACTATAGAAGATAGGATAAGGAACGAACACATAAGAGGGAGTATATGTGTAACATCAATCGTGGATGAGATGAGAGAAAATAGACTTAGATGGTCATGTTATGAGTAGAAAAAAATCGGAAGCTGTAAGAACAGTTATAGAAATTAATGTTGAAGGAAGAAGAAATAGAGGAAGACCAAAAAAGAGATGGAGGGATGCTATTGAATGCGATATGAGGACAGTTGATGTGAGCGTAGATGATGTGGGAGATCATGTCAAGTGGAAGTTTAGGATAAGGGTGGCCGACCCCAAGTAGTTGGAATTAAGGCGAGGAAGAATAAGATTTATTAACAATAATTAGTCTAATTAGTTTTTATTAAAATTATTAAAGAATTTTTCAATACCGATTATATTAATCTATACTACATTTATATGTTCAAATATATGAGTGTATTAAATAAGTGTACGTGTTAAAACGCTAGATACCGAAAAAATTTTTGTTATCTATTGTGTTAAGCTATGTTTCATCAAAAAAATACCTGGACTAGATTAAGCTAAGATACTATACCATTTATGTTACGCTCCTTTTTGGAGAGACTCTTGCCAACCGACGAAAGCATCTTTTTGCCATCATTTTAATGTGATTGTTTGCAAAAAATTAATGTCAAATCAAAATACTCTTCTCGAATAAATTTAACAACAAACTAATCTATATTTGAAAATAAACATTAGTGTATTGTATTAAATAAGCCATGGCAACTTGATTTTTTTATATTAACGCATTCCACTCTTCAGTGCTTAAAATTAAAGCGACTCGCAGGCATTTTGGGATTCGACTAGGAGCGCTAGATTGTACTCCTAATAAGAAGGGAACTCCGTTCACCCTTACTTTAATCACTGTGTATAAGGGATAAGCATAAAAATATTTTATTATTGATAAATTGAGAGAAATATGAACTAAAGAAAACCAATAAAGAAATGCTCAATATTATTTTTATTTTTTGATTAATTATGTGAATCATGATTAAAGGATCTTCTTATACAGAGTCAGGCAGTGCAATGTGGCGTTTTTCGCTACACTGTAGTGATTAAAAATTTTGTTGTAAAAAGAAGTAAAAATCTGAAAAATAATACTCATTGAATACAGTTTTTAACAGTTAATTATTTTTTAAAAATTACAGATTTTAAATGTCCACCATTAAACTCTATACATTTTTCGTTATTTTCTCGGACATGGTTCATAACTGCGCTTCGAAGTCTTTCATCTCATAAAGATGACACAGAGATATTCGTCGGTCAATATCTTTTTATCTGTGATGCGAAGCTGAGAAAGTTGTTTATAATTAATATTATTGACACGGGTTTTTTTTACACATACACATTCTCACAAATACTTTTTATTGTGAGATTAAACTCATGTTTACTCCTCCGCAATAGCAAATATTTAATTTCAAATGGACGTTTTATTAATATGTCGGAATAGCCGTTATATTTTTGAATATCGAACGTTACACAATTAAAAAAAGTTGAACTACCCAACAATTTTGAAAATATGACAAAGTATAATAGTAAAAAAATTAATGGGAAATAATGAAAGATATAATCAATTACACATAAGTGATGAAATATAAAGTCAACTTGATTTATTCAACAATCATCGAGTAGTGATGATAATTATTTTGTACACCGCGTTATTACTGTTATTCTCAGTGGTGTTGTAAAAGTATATGAGATATAACCACTAACAATTTTTTAAATTAACGTATACCTTAAAAAAATAATACTTATGTGCTACTACTATTTTAGCTCACAAATCAGCGCATTCCATAAAATAAAAAAAGGTTTTTTGCAAAAACACTATTAGTAATTATCCGAAGAGAAAAATTTTTATAAATCAAAATTTATACATTTGACTATTGGTTATGTTCCACATACATTAGTTTACCAAAATATTACATTACATTTTGTTAATTTATTTATGTTACATTTAAATGTATTTTCATTATTATTTTATATTAATATATTACACTAAAGACATTTTTGTGGCATTCATTATCTAAATAAGGGTTAAGCAAAAAATGCTTTTTATTTAATTAAAAAAATTGAATCCTTTTAATCAATTTGAACAAATTTAAAATGTTTCAAACATTTTTTTTTTATATAACTAAACAGAATATTAAAAATATTAAACAAAAACAGTGTATAATTAATTTAAATGTTTAAAACATGTTTTAATCGTATATTTAAAAGCAAATTGAGTTTAAATATCTCAATTCTGATCTAAATAAATAAATTATGAATGTAATAGTTTTAGGTTTTAATTTATTACCAATAATCAGGTAGTAGATAGTAATTTTGGACCTTATCAGCCCATTTATTTTATCTAATAATTGTAATAATTCGTTTTTCATTTATCATCTTTTTAATATTTCTGTTGTAGTTAAAATTATTTTATAACGTAATCAAGTTTGATTTCATTAAAATTAATTAACTAATCATTTATAGTAATTCCTTGAATTATTTCTAATTTATATTCTTTGTAATTTCATTCTTTTAACCACAACTAATTTTTTTAATTCGGTTTAATATAACAATGGACAATTCGAATGGAGAGTATAGTCTTACATGGAAGAATCACAATGAAAATTTGACCAAAGTATTTTATTCATTTTTAAAAAATGAAAATTTGGTTGATGTTACTATCGCTTGTCATAGTGAATTTGAAAAGTTACATTTGGTTAAAGCTCACCAAATGGTGTTATCAGCTTGTAGTTCTTATTTTGAACAATTATTTTTACAAAACTCACATCCTCATCCAATAATTTATCTTAATGGTATAAGTTATGAACAAATAGAAATTATATTAGACTTTATGTATAAAGGGGAAGTTACTGTTAAACATGAAATTATCAATGAAGTTCTGTGTACTGCGAGATCATTAATGGTGCGAGGTTTAGGTGAAGATAATTTATCATTTAAAGAAAAAAGACCATTACCCCTACTAGAAGAAAATAATATCAAAAAATATAAATTCTGGAGTGATAAAACCGTTAGATTACCCTTTAGAAGTTTTTAAAAGGTGTTTCAACTTTTTTTTTTTCATAGATAACAGAGTGTAATACTGTCGATAATCTTAAAAATGAAATTCAAGTGGATTTGACTTTGATGAGCCAAGACATTCATGATAGTCATATAAGTAATGATTCTATTAAAAAAGAATTATCAAGTCTAATTAGTACAGAGGAATGTTATGAATCAAAAGAAAATACTTATTTTGTTGTAAGATCTATTTTTCATTCTCATAAAAATTAGATATATTTGTTAAGTGTGTATTATTATAGGATAATTTATCTATAGAACATAATATTCCATCAACACCCAATCAAATAGCATTGAATGATTGCTTAAATACTGTTCATAACACTATGTTTGATGATACAATGCCTGAAGATTTATCATGCTCAAAAAAAACAAATCAGCATGTTACGGAAGTAACACATCAACAGGTGCGACATCGATTTAGAACTGATTGGTTAAAATCATACAATTGGTTAGCATATGACTGCAATGAAAATATTATGTTTTGCAAAAGTTGTCGACGGTGGAGTGAGGTTTTAAATGATGTTAAAACATCATTTGCAAAAGGCAGTTGTAATTTTAGAAGAGAAATATTAAATCATCATGCTCGTTCCAAAGCTCATAAAAATTGTATGGCTAGAGAAATCGATGAACTAAATAACAAGAGTAATGCACATTTCCGTCCATCAAAATAAATATAATTTATTTAGAATAGTTAATTTCTCAGTCATCTGATTTAAAGTTTGTTACCATTATAAGCATAACATCTTTAAGTTATTAATATTTTAATTTATTAATTTTGTTATGTTTTACGTTAAATTTTATTATATTTTATGTAGGAAATTAATTGTTTATTTTAATTTTAATGTTACATTTTTTATTGGGAGGCATTTGTTGGTAGTTAATAAGAAACTATTATTGTTGCTTAAGATTAAATATGACAAAACTTTTTTAATTTTATGTTTTTTAATCAATTGAGTTCTTCTATAATTTAGTTATTATTAGTGAGGTGGATATAATGCCCATACACTGAGACCTGTAGGTCCATTATGCACGTTCCTCTATAGTTACTGGCATAAAATAATTATACTTGTAATTGACTAAATTTAAGTAATACAATCCAAGTTTTTTATTTTTATCTTATTATAATAAGGATATTTATATCTTATATACTTATACAGTGTTTAACTAAAGGTAAGATGCTTATATAATGATAAAGAATTTTTCATTTTTATAAAGAGAAAAATTATTTGGCCATAAAAACTGTATATATTTCTATTAAGTAATTATGAATAATTTATCACTTCTATACATTATTATATAAATGTTAATTTATAAAAAAAAAATAATTTCATCTCTGAACCGTTAACATAAATTTTTCTTAAATTTTGAATTCCAAAAAATAGTTTTTTAAATTTAATCAAATTATGTATGTAGAAAATAATTAATGTAATTTTTTTTACTACAATATTAATATTTTTTGGGCTAAGCAAACACCAGCTTTTATTAAATTTCTATTAACTTCATTTTTATTGCTGATGTTTATATTTGTCATTTTATTTTATAAATGCTACTACTTGTGTTAAAAGAACAGATTAAATTCTAATAGTACTGATATTTTTATAACTAACGAGGAGCCTGTGTATCAAAAATTATATAACTTCTTAACAAAAACAAATAAAGTGAGTGACATGTTTCTATTTGCTCTTAAGGTTTAAAAAAATATTTAAATACTTATTATGAAAATTATTATAAATAATTTTTACATTAATTTGTGTGATTTGTAAAAGATTAAGTCATATAAATTTTAAAAAAGTTTATTTTTATTGAGAACATGAATATATGCCCTTGCCACATTAATAATATACTTATTAACACTAATTTACTATTTATAATTAGAATAAAATTTCTGGAAGGTTAAATTAACTTTCCCCTTCCCTAAAAATATGTTTATATAATTAAAAATATAATTATTTAGAGGGACGATGTGGCCGAATCGGTAACGTGGCAGTGTCTAATGCACAATGGGCTCAAGATTAGGTCACGGATGCAAAACGATAATGTATTCAGTGTTTAAAGTAAAGCCATCCCTCTCTCGGGTTACGATTTAACCACATATCTCGGAGGAAAAAACAGACGAAATCTCTCCTTTAGAAAGACCTCAATTCTCTGTGAAAGAAATATTGTAGAATTAATATTATAGAATTATATGCTTATAATAAAATTAATAAATTAAATTTTTTGTTAGGAAGAAGGCTTAGCCCTTCTAGTTGCGCCTATGATATTTTAAATTAAAATTATGCTTAAAAATTACAAAATAACAACACAATTTTTTGGTTTGTTTTATACCTAAATGGTATAATTTTAAGCAAGGGCGACCAAAATAATTTACCATGGGGGACAAAATATTTGATTTCACTGTTTGGTCAAAAGACATAGTGTTAAAGAGGCGGTGACAGAGGTCCTCTCAACCATAGAATCATGCTTTTTTGGAAGTCCACCATATGCTTTCAAAAAGAGCTTAGCCCTTTCAACGAATTAGCTCCCCAAAAAAATAAAAAGATTAAGTCTGTTCTTATATATATATATATATATAGTATATTTTAAAGTACAACCTCAAAATTATTATTCTAATAGGTACCTATGAGCTTTGAAAAAATAAAAAATAAACTAAAGATTTCTTGGTAGTTTTATGCATTTATGCATAGGATTAAATGCCTCTCTAAATGTAATAAAAAAAATCAAACCTACATGTCATTAATCTATAAAAAGTAATAATTTTAATCACAGCATTCATAATATAATTAAATAAAAATAATTTTTTTCAATTAAAAAAAATGTTATCTTGCAACCAATATGATAATTGACCTAGCAAAAATTAAAGAGGTTGCAAATATCTTCTTTCCCTCTCTAGTGAACATCCATGATTTAAAATTAAAAAAACAAATTCTTTTAAGTAATTTAACTAAATATACTCAATTAGTAGTATATATTATGTATAATTTTTTATCTAGTATTATCAAATTAATTTTAAATATTATAATTATTAGAATAACATAAAAAATTTTACTTATATAATTTTTAACTATTTCAAAGTCTAAAATTGATTATATCATAATGCAATACTAGATATTTTTATGAAAATTCTGGACGATATCGTCAATTTTTATTTGATGTCCTATTACATATGCGAATTTTTTTGTTGTTATTCACAATGAAATCCAATTCATCAAAATGATTGAAATAATTTTTTAGTAGCCAAAAGAATTAAAGAGTTTTGTTTGCTCGTTATTTTTTTTAAGGTGTTTTTCAAAAATTCTGAAATAACGAATGAAAAAAAGATTTTCCAGTAATACTTACTGTAAAGTAAATTTTAAAATATCTAATTTTCATGAATGTGCAAAAGTTGGTTGTTGAAATTTTCTTATTCTTTGTTGAAAGTGACCATATTATACCAAAAAATTTCGTAGAAACATGATTTTAACAAAAATGTTAAAACTTTCTTAATTGCACTGATGCCATGTTTGTTTATTTTTTATTGTTCTTTTTATTATCTTTTATAAAATAAAAATAAAATAAGAATTAAAATGTAAGTATTTAGTATTAAAACTTTAATGGATGCTGTTTCAGACAAACGAATTTCGATTTTCAATGAATAGGACTTCACCATCAGATTTAAGATCGACTACATTCCAGAGAATTATAACCTCATATAATACAAATGGTACTCATCTAAATAGACTATAAAGATATATTATTATTTGACATTATTTTTTTATCATTTTGACCACTAATATTTTTATTACTAGACATCAGATGTTTGTATCCCTCAACATTTTGAAAAACTTTAGAAAACAAAAAATACTAAATATTTAATCGATTAGGTACGTTCTTAGGTTGGTTAGAAAGTATTAATGATAAAATGATGGGACATATGATTACACGACTTTGATACCTTAATAAGATACAAACAAAGAATTTAATTAACGAACATATTTTGACGATGTGTCCATTTTGACCCTCATAGTTTTAAATTAGTTTCTTTTAATAGAAATATGAAATGTATATTTTTAAAATATTTGGGTATTTATAATAGTAACATAATTAAAATAGTTATTTAAAAATATGTTTAGATATCCCCTTTCAAGTCAAAAATGTACAACTAAATTGACTGTTTGCAGGATTTGACTACATTCGTCTTCCTCCAAATGATTCCATTTTCCGAACAGACCCAAGCAAACCTGGCATGTATATGTGCATTTTGTGCTCGAAACGAGTCAGAAGCCGTTGGCATCACTTTCAAACACATTTCTCTAGGAACCACAGGTGTCCCTACTGTGATGCTGTCTACAGCCGTATAGACACGTTAAAGTTGCATGCCAAACGAGTACACCAAACCGCACCAGCTGATCTGTTGGAAGAAATCGTCCCACGTTTACTACCTATACCAACACCGCGCACTCCAACCTTCTTTACGTACTTGTCACCATTTGGTCAACTATACAACAGCCCACACTCAGACCTCAGACGGTTTATGTCGCGTGAATTAAATGCTCCGCCATCTACTCTCGCTGGAATAATGCAATCGGCGGTTTTTCACAGTTGTTGTGCAGCCATTTCTGCAAAATAGTGAGACTAAACAATAAACTCTCCAATCAGAAATGAACAACAGGCACAGTACTGCACCAGTATTGGCAGTTATGATGCGTATAAATAAATTTATTATTAAAATAAATAATGACGAATAATTATATTGACTAGCGGATAACTGATGTAGGTAATCAAAATATTAAACTTCCCTAAAATTTCATTTCTCATTTATCAATAATATTAATTACGGGCTTCACAAAAATTACTAAAAACGTAATGATAACATTTGCACTTAATATTATAATAATAGATTAAATTTACAAGTATAATTATTTCGTTGTCATTAAACGTTGTTATATTATGTATAAAACTATAAATGTATGTAGGTGATTTAATTTTGATAAAAGTATAAATTCGACACGACAATCCGCGAGAAAAATTTCACGGAAACAAGTGTCACTTGAAAGCGTGTAAATCAGGGCCGCATCTAAGGGGTCATTGAATGAACATAGGGGAAATAAAATATGAAGCAATACAAATTATAGAGTTGAAGACTTTTTTTTTTCCCATTCAAATAAAAATAATTAGAGAAAAATATTTTTGATGATCAAAATATTAAAGGGGTGGCAAAATTTCAAAATTGTGGCCTTGGTATAATTTAAAATAAGGTCAAGAAAATGTTGTAACCTAAACATTTAAAATTAAACCAATTTTTTCTATTATCGTTATTGATGCATGGTTAATATGATAATGAAATGCAAAGGTTAACTTTCTATTATAGTATTGCTTTATTGTAGAATTGAATAGGGTAACTGCACCAGTTATAACAGGAGGTCACTGAGTGAACGTATCCCCCGTACAACAGGTTTTAAGGGTGCCATTGAAAATTGAATAATAGAATTAAAAAGATTTATTTGTTCATTCAAATAAAAAAAAATAGCGATTCCGAAAATTTTTTTTTTTATGAGCAATATAAAAAGGTCATTGGAGGTGACAAAATTGAGTACCCCGAACGATACAAAAATACGGACCTGAGTTATTGGCATTCGAGTTTAATACCTCCTAATAAATAATTTGTCAACGCTTTAAATAATATTTTGATAAATCAAATATGAGACATTACTAGGAAAGAAAAACCAATTTTTCTGTGGGTTTAAAAATGAATCTACGACAAATCAAATATAAAAATTGCAATAACTACAGAATTGCTAATAACTGGTATAGTTACTCTACATATATTTTTAAATAAATAATCAGTATTGGACATAAAGAATTCAGTAGTATTATGTAAAAAACTTGAGTATTTACAACGTACGTTATTCGTTTATTACATTTAAACATTTTCAAATGTACCTATCATAATGAGAGAGATAATCCCTGACAGATCATTCAGCACATGTGTAAACAGAGTTGCATTAATATTATAAGATAAGAAAGTGTAACAAAATCAGTTAAAATATTAACTATAAATCAAAATAAAATTATGATCATTAGTTTTAATATTCTATTTTAAAAACCTTAGTTGATTTTTTTAATTCATAACAACACTATAGTGTTATCATTTATATTATGATTAGTAGAATATTGTCCATTGCTATTTTTAGAATAAATATAATTAGAATTAAAAATTTATAACTTTGTACTAATATTGACTAGTCTATTAAAAATTAAATATAATAATTATATATAGGGTGTAAATCTTTCGAACCATAGTAATGTATGGGCGAGTATCCTGGTAAAGTGTAAAATAGGACCTCGTTTTTTTTTTTTTTTTTTTCCAAAATTGGAGAAATTTTAGAATAACCCCCCCGAATTTCTCTAAAATTAAAAATAAATCATACCACAATATTTTCCGCAAAATTCTCATACAAATTGAATGGTCACTCGATTTTTTGTAATTTTTGCGCCCTCCCCTGAACTTTGGGTTCAAAGTTGGAAAAAAATTTCACATTAGTGTGACCCATCAATTTGTATTGAAATTTCACTGGGAGTCCTGTGATGTAGTTTATTTTTAGTTTAATGGATTAAATAACAAGAAATACCGAAAAACCCACAAATAATGTGATATTTTTTTAATTTCATGAGTTTATTTCGTCTTTTATTATTTATTCAAACCGATTATAATTATTATCATTGAAACTGTATAAAATTATAAATTTTTTTCTTTTTAGGTCGGGGAAATAAAAGAATTATAATATTGAAATGAATATGTTTAACTTTATTACAATTAGAAATAATTATTTTAATGTAACCGGCACACTACTCTTTTCCGAAATTAATCAATAATGAGAATATGGTACATCACTGAGCTTGTTAATGTTTATTTAAATGTTCGAAAAATACTGTTCACTATTGAATAGTCACTTATTAAGTTGCACATAATATTAGATAACCTTTAAAATATAGCTTCTTTTTTTTTGTGCAATAAAAATGCATAAATATTACATTATTTCTAGGTTTTTTCGGTTTTTCTTGTTATTTAATCGTTTATACTAAAAATAAACTACATTACAAAACTCCCAGTGAAATTTCAATACAAATTGATGGGTCACACTATTGTGAAATTTTTTTCCAACTTTGAGCCCAAAGTTCAGGGGAGGGCGCAAAGGTTACAAAAAATTGAGTGACCACTCACTTTGTATGAGAATTTTGCGGGGAATATTGTGGTATGATTTATTTTTAATATTAGAGAAACTCGGGTGGGTTATTCTAAAATTTCTCCAATTTTGGAAAAAAAAAAAAAAAACGAGGTCCTATTTTACACTTTACCAGGATACTCGCCCATACATTACTATGGTTCGAAAGATTTACACCCTGTATATTTCTGTATAAAAATTTGATTTTAATAAAGTTGAAATTTTACCTATTTAATTAAATATATATGGATATTTATGACATATTCTCCAATTTAACATAAATAATTTAAATTAACTTTAAATGCTTAAATAGTAGACAATTTTTATTAACATGGTTAATCCATAATTTTATATAAATTAACGTTTTCATTTATGAAAATTAATTTTGTTTTTTAATGACCTTTGAAATTAGGTTGAATTGTCGTATTATATTCTAAATAGATATTATTAGCTAAGTACTTTAACGTTTCGAATAAACAAATTAAAATATTAATTAATATTTTATTATTAATTAGTTTTACTTAAATATTCTATGCTTGTATGTTACTGAATAAGATTTTAATTTATTAATAATTTATAGACATGGAAATATTACAATATAGGTTTAATAAAATGTATAATACTTGTATTTTTTTTAATAAATATGTTATAGAAATTAAGCCAAAAAACATATAATGAAATCATTTTAAAATTTTGAATTTAAAATATATGTTCTATTATTTTAATTATATAAATTGAAAGTAAACTTAAAATCATAAAAAATTGTTAATCAATATATAAACATCAAACTATTTTATTTGCACAAAAAAAAGTGTTCATTTGAAACATTTTTAGTCATGTTAAATAAATTACAATTTAAAAAAAAAAAAAATTAGTTGAATAATGATAGTTATGTGTGTGTTTTTTTTATTTAATTAGTCTAGTTGTTATATTAAACTGTTTATGACATTAAGTAATTTGACTTTTAATGCTTTTTATTAAAATAAAAATGTATTAATGTAATCACTTATAGGTGTTAGTTTATAATGTACTTTTTCTCATTTATAATACATATATTTTTTTTATTTATTTAAAACTTAAAATAATATCTAATTTTAGTCTAAAGTTTTCTAAATAAATATACAGCTATAGATTAATTGATACTGTTTCAATTAATTTTTAACTCGTACAAATAGTACACATGTATATCCAATAATTTAGTTTTAGCAAGGTATATGTGTGAGTAGTCGATTTTCAATGAATCGTAAACTACAAATGTCAATTGATCAAAAAAACTGTTGGAAAAAAGATCGTAAACACAACTGGTTACAGAAAAAAAAACTTTCGGCAGGGGTCGATTCATTATTGTAGCATGAGGCTTATTTTTTAAAATTGGACTTTTATTATGACATATTGATCATTTTGAGAGACCATTACGCCTTTGCTCCATTGTATCAGAGCTTGTAAGGTATGTCTAATTAAAATATTATCAACAATTTTAATAGGGTAATACGAAGAATATCGAGATTGAAAATATCGCTTTTAAAAAATAAACTGTAATAATCCGATTCGAAGTCTAATTTTCTCAGTTTACCATAAAAGATAATTTTTTTATAATTCACCACTTAATTAATTGAAAAATAAATATAATATTGAGAATTTTACTTATGATTTTTTTTAGTTATATGTTTTTCTTAACTTATCAATCATGAAGTATTTTTCATGTCCATCCCTTACACATTATTAAGGTATCAACTTTATTTTTCAAATAACAGCATACTTATTTAATTAGCTTATTTATTAGATAATAATCTAAATATGAATATTTTTCGATGTAAATTACTTTTGTTTTAATATAATAAACGCATGTTGAATTAATAAATATTATTAGCATATTATATTATTTCACATAAATTATTGAATATTTATACTATCTTTATGAAAAGAATGAATTAATTTTTTGTGTTGAAAGCGTAATCTATAATTTCAGAAAAATTATATACACTAATGAGTAAAATCAATTTTAAGGAAGAGAAAATTGGATCAAGTAAGTCAAAAATTATGTTGAAATTGCACCTATATTAATACCGGAAAAATAGAAAAACATTACGAAGTATACTTTCAGGCACGGCCTTAAAAAATATATTTTAGGGCCGTGCTTTAATCTACAAAAGTTTTAAATAAGAAAACAAACTCATATTTATAAAAAATTTCGCTTGTAAGGAAAATAATTTTAAATAATTCAAAAGAGTTGTCCGGTGTTATTTTTATTATAGTTTATATAATATATATTTATTGATAGTTTATAGTTAGTATTATTAATTGAAGTTATTTTAACTAAATCATATCTTGTAGAATATTCAAATTTCAAATTTATTTCCTATATTGTCCACTAGAGAGAATTGCTAACATATTTTTTTGTATTTATCAGTGCAGTATTAGTAAGTTATGATTACTTATCGTTGAATACCAACTGATTAGAAGCGCGGGCTGTGGTAGAACGAAGGTGTAGGAGGCTCAGATTGGGTAAATTATTTTACGTTTCTTAAAAATGTTTTTATTATTGTTCATTGCCTTGTTTTTTTGATAATAATAACACCGCGATTTCGCCGTCGTAAGACGTGCGTTTCAATAATTAAAATATTTTGGGCCGCGCCAATAAATATATTTGGCGGCCCGTAATAACCTCTTTTAAAATAAATGTATAATTATTTAGTGTACCTGTAAACAATCCTTAGAACGCAGATAGTTAGAACATGAACTTTACTCAAAAGTGATGTTATTTCGTTTGATTAAGGTAGTTTCACATTAATATTGAAGAATGGCCAGATCATTACTAGCAAGTTGAAGCGATTATAACGAATTTCTTTATTTGACCAATTGCTTCTGGCTATCATTGGTTTGCTGTGTTCAATTCAGCCTCACGTAATATATAAAGTTAGTCAAAAAGTTTACAGTTTCATTGTAAGTAAAAATGAATTATTTTTACTTTTATTCAATATCTTCTTTTTTATTGTGAATTCATATTTATTTTTAATAAATTTATGGTATATTTTTAGAAATACTGATGTCCAATGATCAACATTTATGGTATGGATGATGATGCTGATCTTGGAGAGTCATTGGCTTCTAATTTGAACCATCCATCACATAGTTCATCGAGTTTATCAAAATTAGATATGTCTAGCAATCAGATGTTAGATAATTGGCGTGAGTCTAGTATCCAAGTTATTTGACATTTTTTTTTTTTAACTTTGCTTTTTAGTAGGTTTAAGTGTACACTGTACAACTTCATTAGATGATTATTGTGATGGAGAATTAGAAAAACAAGATTGTGATCCATGTCCATCATCATCTGGATTTTCATATGATTTAACTTCTTTTCCTAAATCAACATCATCTGCAATGTCAATGTTTTACCCACATCTAAATAGCTATGATATCCATCCATTGCTCATGAATCAAAAAAGAAGACCAGTAGAATCATCTCTTATAGATCCTCCCAATTTGCCACCTCACCCTCTTATACCAGATGTGTCTAGACAAATTATACATAAATCTAAGGTTAGTATAATTATATTAATTCTATTATTAAGTAGAGTTCTGAATTCATAAAATGTATTAATATTACTTACATATTTATCAAAGTTTATATGACTAGATAATTGATTTCAAAAGGTGCATTATAAACTGTTTGAATATTTGTGATTTAATTTTTGTTGCCAAATTTAAATTAAAATTTAATGATTTTTCTACTATCACGAGTACTATTATTTTGAGTTTCATTATTAATAATAATTTTTATTATTATCACATTGTACTATTATAAACCATTTAAGACCAAATGACAAACATAATGATACTACCAAAAGGAAGAAAATTAATTCATTTTTTTTTTAATCAAAGGTATGAATACTATTGCAGCCTTGATGTTTTCTAATATGTTCTTGTATATTGTGTTATAAATTAATAAAAATGTGTAAAATATACAAATTAATGGTAGTTTATTTTACATGAAAAATTAAAGTTCTTAATTCTATATTTTTCCCAATTTAGTGATAAATGTTGAATTAATAATTATATATATTTGTCCATTCAACATTACTCTCTATTAATGAAATACTAAAGTTATCTTGTGAATATATTTCAAAATAAGGATTATCCATTAGTGTCTAAAATTATACAAGATTAATTTTTTAGTAAGTAATTACAATGATATTTTACCTTTTCTACAATAGCAGTTAGCTATTTTCTTTCATTATTGAAATCAAATTTTCATATTCTTTGAAATATAATTGAGATTTTGTATAAGTAAGAATTTTAAAACAATATGATATACAATATATTGTGTTGATACTTTTTGTATTATTTTTCAATTAATTTTATGTACTAGTTTAAATTTTTGATATCCACAAACAAACATAAGTTATAATTCGTATTTTAAATATTTAATACTTTGTTTCATTGTTCGGTTATTTAATATGAATATTCATTAGAATTTTTAAATTTTATAATCAATATCAGCTGTTAAATACTGATTATTAGAAAAACAAAAAAATTGATGTTTATTTTACATTTCTAGGTACGAGGAAAAGTTACGAATCGACAATCAGATTATAATTGTGGAGAATTACCGAACTGTGATCAAACATTTATTGTAGATGCTGATCGATGTCAACGTAAAACATTTTATTGTGTAGCATGTAGTAAAACATTTAAATTTCAAACATCATTGTTAAGACACAACAATAAGGTACATATCAGTAAGTACCAGTGTCAGTCTTGTCATCGTGTTTTTTCTAGACAAGCATATCTTGATGTACATACTTCTAAACAAGGAAGTTCATGTTACTTAGCCAATAGTTATACTATTACTAAGTCAAAAAAATAAACTACTTGGCATTGAAATGATTTGGCCATAAATTGTTAAATATATATAGGTGATTTGTGCATCATAAACCACTCGTTTACTCATAAAATAATAATAAAAATATATTTATAAGGATAAGAATTTTTTATTTGTATTTTTCAGTAATATTTAATTTTTGATTTATCCATTAAGTATTTTTTTGGTCCTTCTCTTATGCGTTATAGAGGTATGAACTTATTTTTATTAAAATCAATTTTAATTTTATAAATTTATAGAATTTTTCTGTTAAATTATAGTATTTGAATTTTTTATATAAATTTTTTTTTTTTTTTTCGGTAGAATATTTTAAAGTTTCAATTTTTGGATTATAGCAATAGGTATACACTATTAACCGGTAAACCTATAATTTATAATAACTGTTGTGTATCAATAAATAGCTTGGTAGTAAAAATCAGTATTCGTGATAGTTAACAGTCTATATCTATACTCAAATAATTGAAACATTAAATTATTATATCAAATAAACAAATAAAGTTATATAAAAAGTTCTAATGCCGTAGATTAAAAAAAAAAAAAAAACTTCTGTTATGTAAAAAAAATACATAATATTGAATAAATCAAAAATTATATGTAACTGAAAAAATTAAAAATGCTCAAAATTATTATAATTTTATGACAAATATTTTGGTTTATGATTTATAAATCACCTTGTATTTCCAAAATTAAACGTGTTCACATTTTTATATAAATCAGGGTACTACAAAAATGGATGTTCAGCTAAAATTTTGATTATGCATTTTTTTTAAATATTGTAACTACAATACTTATATTCTAGTCAAATAACAGTCTACATATTAGACAAAACTGTTGTACAGATCTTCTGTTATAAAGATCACAAAATCTCAATTTGATTATAACCCATTCTGTATTTATAAATAAAATTATATCTCACCATTTGTTACAATTCACTCAATTAAGCTAAATTACTGATATATATATATATATATATTTTTTTTTTATTTTTATTCAAAAATATATGAGTGACATTGTTGGAAAATTAATAATACTATTTAAAATTTAAATTGACATAAAGTATTGTATTTCATACTAATATATTTTATTAACCATATTTTTCTAAGCATATTACTATTTATTTATATCTATGTTGTATAAACTGATATAAAAATTTTTAACTGATGATTTTTATAAAGTATAAGAATATATACAATAAAAGAAAATAAAAAGACATATTTAATGCCATTATATTTTTATAGTATTTAAATATTGGTATTTTTCATAATAACTTTAAACCTATGTGTCATTATTATATATTGTTTTTTAATTAATCTTAATTCTACTTTTATTTAATTTACTTTATTTGATTGCTTATTTTATTGATGACTGAAAAAATGTTGAGATTAATAATTTTATATAAAATATATATGCATATTGTGTTAAATATATATTGTTTATTGATATATAATTAAATTAGTTATTGTTTATTATATTTATGAATACATGTTATTGTTTATCATACCTAAATTTATGTTGTATTAAATTATATTTATGTTACAGTAATTTTTGTAAATTATTTTATTTATTTTTCCAAATGAGCTCTGAATTTATCTAAAATTAACTTAATCTAATATCAAAATAAATATATTGAAAATAATTTTAATATTATTAAAAAGTATAGCTAATTTATTAAGAGGAATAAAGTTTATAGTATTCGAACAAGTAAAAATGCATTTTAAGAACATTATCTCTAATTTTTTAATAATGCAATACAAATTATCTTAGTGAATTGATTAGTATTGAAACAAATTCTAAAGAATATCCTATTTTTTTATTTATGTTTCTAAAAAAAATTCCCTGTTTTTTGATATAGTTCAATTTAGTCCATTTAAATAACAGGATAATAAGTTTTTTTAATTAAAACATCTTATCTATTGTTAATTAAATTTTATTAAAAAATTAAATTATCAATTTTTTAGAATAAAAATTTTGAAATTGAAAAAAATTGTTTTTTATTTTGCTCATTTAATTCAATTAATTACAAGAAGTTTACAATTGAAAATGAGATCAAAATCTCTATAGTTCGAATGGTATGTAATACATAACTAACAAGATGTAAGATGTCATTTTTTTAAATTTAAATGGACATCATTAAAAAATATATATTTTTTTAAATCAAAAACTTATAAAGTTTAGATGATTTTTTAAATCATATTATCATTGAACCTGACTTGAGAATAGTATTTAAATAAAGACCTTAGGGGAAATATATCTACACATAAAATAAAAATTTTTGACTAAAAAATGTTTAGGCATGAATGTTGTAGTGAACATTGACGTTATTATAGAATAATACTTGGGATAAACCGCTTAACGAAAAAAGGCGTTTAAGAGATGTATTTTGAAGGATTAATTTCTTATGAATACTCCTTTCAGACAATTCTCTGAAAACCCCAATATGTTAGGGTTTTTTTAATTATTTTACTATAATTAATAAGTAATTAAACAAATTTTTAATTTAAAATTCAAATTTTTTTCTTATTTAGAGGTCTAAAATAGTGTGTCTTTTATCATAAAATTTATAAATTGAAAATTGAATTGTATTTCCTAAATTAAAAATGTGAATTTTTATACAAATACAATGTCTTCTAATATATATAGAGCGATTTATTTATCAAAAGCCATTTAATTAATTAAAAAATGATATTTTTACATGCCATGAAGTATTTTTATGTTGTCAATTATACATTATAAGGATGTCAACTTTATTTTTAAAATGTTAAAATGCATAATTACTATTTTATTTTTGAGATAACGATTTAAATGACTGGTCGATAAAAACTTTTGCTCTAGTATTTCAGAAGTTAATAACGTTCTTATACTTTGGTGGGAGATGAAGCGCGGAGCTCCAGCTATTACTTTAAATTGTAAATAACTTCTACAATACTGATTCAATAGATGTTATCGAACAATCAGTTTCTTAATTAGATCATTTTCTATTTTATAAGTAAGTTAAAATTGTATGGATGGCCTAAAACTCGGACTATCCGCGACAGACGAGATCTTCCTATTAATTCGCAAGTATACTGTATAATAACTACCGACGTATATACTATTGCCTGTCTGCTGTGCCTTGTCGTCCGACTTCCACTAAATTCCAATTTAGAACTATCTGTATATTGTCAATATAATAACTACCGACATACACGCCGTTACCGCCTGTCCACTTCGGCGTGTTCGCATTGCTGTCGTATGACAACTGTCCAACTCCATGAAATATGTTGTGCGCTCAAATATCATAAAGTGTAATTTCACATATTTATACAGGCATAGAATCAAGCGTTCAGCTTCCTCTACAAATAAACGTAGTTAATTAATAACTCTTAATTAAACTCTTTAAATTCTTTAAATGAAGATTTTATATGCATTGTTTTTACATGTTTTCTCTCCAAATACGGACTCGTTGCAGAGTTAAATTTAATCTAAACGTTAAATTAAGAGGAAAAATAATAATTATCAGAAACAATTCTTATATGAGATGACGGAGATATCTGCACACCAAGGCGGCAATCAATCAATGCAGGCCGCCGAGTCAATATTTTAGTCTATAATATTTACTATAATTTAATATAGTATCACAATTGATAATATAATAAAAAATATTTTTAGAATAAAAATTTATTAAGTTCATATTTTATTGTTTTTTTTTTTTTGCGCATACTTCATTATATTTGCCTTTTTAAGTGTATATAATTCCGTACTCTAATTATAATTAATCATATAATATACAGAGTGATTCGTCCCTTCAAGGATAAAAAACTATATATTTCTATATTTGGGAACCCTAATTTTTAATATGTTGATAGAAAAAGAAAATTTCAAACGATTTTGTTCTAAATTTTTTTTATACAATCAATGGTTTTTTTTTTTAATTGTTTAAAAATTTGGATTTCAAATACAAATTCATCGTTAATTTAGTTTTCACAATACTGAAGGCAACAATAATCTTTTTCAATAGGCCATAAATTATTTTTGTGGTTGTTAACAAGAAAATTTTCTACATCGACCGTTCACCAATGTACATTAACAAAATCTTGCGTTGAGTATAATATTATGCGTCTATTAATGTACATGAATTATTAAAGATAATATTTCTATGCAATGGATAATATCGAGTAGTAACTAGTATGTTTTTTAAACATTCTAGGGGGATTTTTATTTTAAATATTATTAAATAATGTAGACTTAATATTATTTAAAACAAATTTAAATTTGACATCTTTCATATTGAAATAGAATAAAGAAAAAAAGTTAATTAAATTATAAAAAGTTGACATATTTGATTAGAGATAACAGATAATTATTTATAACAATAATTAAAATTATTTTATTATAGCAGACCAACTTTTAATTAAAATTAAAATCTAATAAAATTAAAAGATATTAATAATAGTAAAATAATATACCTTGAAGATTCAACCATGTTGATTTTTTTTTTAAGGTTTTCTTATGTAAATTTTGTATAGAACTATAATTTAATCAATTTAGATTGCAACATACTTAAAGTCTCAAATAAAATTTAAATAGAAAATTACAAACTTCCATCACACAATAACAATTTCTGTTAAAAGTAGAACAAAAAAAAAATACAACAATAATGTATAGAATATGTTGATTAAATTTTGGAACCAAAAATTTACTAAACTGACATAATAAACAGCATACATTTCATAAATTCAATCAATTAATAATACTAATGGGCAATAAATTACAAATAGAAAAATAACTCAACCGGACGGTCTATTAATAGCAATAATTTTAGTTTTCTATACATCATTAAACGGTGTACATCGCTCAAACTTGAACGATAAGTTCAGTCAACTGTTTTAGTAGATGGAACATATATTTTAAAGGCAGCGACAAATTCAAATAGAAGATTGGTTTATAAACAAACTGGCAACGTGGTGTTTATAGGACTAAGAATGTTTTTAACGCTCTGCCGCTTAAAATTTTACAGACGTATGAAAGCAACGTTGCCAGATTCGTTATTTCTATGAATTGGGCCAGAGAAAACGTAACTGAGTGTCTATTGGGTAAAATAAGAGCCCTTTATCTTACCATTTGACAGACGATATGCGTTCTGTCGTATAATATGTTCACTGTACTATACTCTTATGTTACTTTTGTTCGACCGGTTTTTTGAATTTGTCGCTCTTACTACTTGTACCAAATGATTTCAGTATTTATTTTCTTAAATACATATCCATCGAATTAAAAATAATCAATAAATTTGTTGTTTAATTTATTACTCTAATATTGTTCTCTTATAGTATAAAAGTATTTAGATATGATTATTTTTATAAATAGATGTTTCACGGCCGCACATTTCTATCTGCCTAAATATAAAAATACTAGTCATTTCTGAGTACTGATCCATAAATTATTTTTTTAAATATAAGTTTTACATTTTTATCTAATAAGTGAGTTAAATATGTAAGTTTCCATTTAAAAAATAAAGTTGAAATTTTTATAAGGAATCGCGGACTATCCTAAAAAGTATATAACCACCTTTAAACTCAGAGATAAATAGTACTCAACAATGCCAAAAAAAAATAATTCTAAGATTATTACATTAGGAGAAATTTAGCGATCAATGATAAATCAATTACTTTTTAAGCTAATTAAACAACATTTATAAAATATTTTTGTAACATTTCACACAATTTTTATTTAACAGTTATATATTAGACATTTTTTAAGTCTACAATTATTTATATTTTTTAATTTTTAAAAGTTATTACAGTGCATTATCGATTAAGTTATTATTAATTACATTATATATATATAATCTCAAATAAAATATAAAAAAAAACCAAAAAAGAATAACTTTAATATAGTGGTGCTCGAATACCAAAAACTGTCTAAGCCGACATAATAAACATTTTATAAATACAATTGATTAACAAAAATAATTGGCAATAAATAACAGATAGAATAATAACGCAACCAGACGGTCTATTAATAGCAATCATTTTAGTATATTTGAAAGATAAATTCAAACAACCATTTTAAGCAAACGGAAACAAAAATATATTAAAAACAGCAACAAATTCAAATAAACTGTAAGTTAATAAGCAATCTAGCAACGTGTAGATATCACAAGCCTTTAGAACGATTTCAAAGCTATGTCCCTTTTAATTATACAGACTTATGAAAGTGTAGTCGCCAGTTAGCTGATAAACTTATTTCTTACCCGCGGGACACGAACGAACACAACTGACTAACTGTTGAGTAATGTAGAATCTTATTTTTTATCTTTCATATTGGCCGTCAAGTCACGTTCTCTCTGTAGTGTAATAACTACTATTTATCTATGAAACTTTAATATTGTACATTCGATTATTAGAATTTGTGAGTTTACTATTTAGCTATTTTGACTTCTGTATTAATTTTACAAAATATCTGTCTATTGAATTAATTAAATAATAAATGAATTTGTCGCCCAATTGTTGTGAAGTTTTAAATTTATTGCTCTAATATATATATATATGACTATTTTAATCA